CGAAGTGGATTGGTCTCTCTAAGCGAGATCCCAATTTCGTCGGTCATCCGACGTGACGTCGAGAGTGACCGACTGAAAAGGAACATCTCGGTTACGTATTGTAACCCTCGTTCCCTGAAGGAGGGAACGGAGACGTCACGTCCCGTCGCCACAGCTTCTGTACCACTGCTGAGCGGCAGGGTCACCGGCTCGGCTCCTCAGCGAAAACCTGAATGTGCGCTGCACCGGCTGCCTACTTATACTCACGCTGTGATCAGTGGCAGCTGGATGCAATAATCGCATGCCAATGTGCATTGGCTTGTTTAGTTTACACTCAAAGTAGATTGGTCTCTCTAAGCGAGATCCCAATTCGTCAGTCATCCAACGTGACGTCGAGAGTGACCGACTGAAAGGGAAATAGTTTTCTCTATAAAAATCAGGAAAAAATGTCCACTTTTACTTGGAAGAAATGTTCAATACTTGAAAGAGTTAGTTCACCCAAAAATGAAAATTCTATCATTAATTACTCACACTCATGTCGTTCCAAACCCGTAAGACCTTCGCTCATCTTCGGAACACAAATTAAGATATTTTAATGAAATCCGAGAGCTCTCTGACCCTCCATAGACAACAACACAACTGAAATGTTCTCAGGTCCAGAAACATAGCATGCGCATGCTTCTCTTCATGTAAACAACTGGCTGCTGCTTACGTTGAGCACGCACATGTGTCAGCATGCGTTTACATGAAGAGGAAGCATGCACATGAGTCGTGCCTCACTTTTTCCACAATGGCGGTGCGCCGTAGCAGACGGGATAGGGAGAAGAAGAATTGTTAAATAAAGTTATTATTTTTGTTTTCTTAAAATTACGGTTGAACCCCTGATGTCACAAGGACTATTTTACCATTGTCCTTGTTTCTGGACATGGGAACATTTCAGTTGTGTTGCTGTTTATGGAGGGTCAGAGAGCTCTTGGATTTCATCAAAAATATCTTAATTTGTGTTCCGAAGATGAACAAAGGTCTTACGGGTTTGGACTGACATGAGGGTGAGTAATTAATGACAGAATTTTTGGGTGAACTATCCTTTTAAGGATTGTGCTGAAGGATTGTACATAAACAGACTTTCATAAATAAACCAACCCTGAAGATTGTTCGCTGAGATAAAAAGTGTGACACCAAGCCCCGTTCTCCCCTATATGCAATTAGTGTGGTACAATTAACTCTGCTTTGCATGCACATTTGCAGTTCCAATCACTCACTGTAGTCGCTGTTCTCATCCTTGATGCCATCGATGGTTCCATCTGGCTGCATCTGCAGGTAAAAACCCTGCTGGCTGAACAGTCGTGTCACAATGCCTTTCAGCTGCGGCTCTGGAAAATAAACACACAGCCCCGCCCCAACCCACATTTTTATCAGAATTTACCCCAACAAATTTTTTCAGCATGTGAACAAAAGGTTGTTAAGAAGAAATAAATTATTCTAAATAAGTTCTTGACTTCTTATCCAGTGATGGCAGTGAATGTACTTGTGAATGGCTGTGTTGATAAAGCTCTGCATATTTGCTCTCTGCAACCTCATTAATCAGTTTCACTATGGACACCTGGAGTTTAGAAGACCAGCTGTAGCCATAACAGGTGATTTCTGGTGGAGTGGTGACCTGTACAAGCAGGTACAATAAATGTTTAAAGGCAGGCCTGAGAGGTGAGGAGTGAAGAGGCCACATGGATGACCTGGCATGCAGCAAAGTTCCACAGCTTTCAATACTAGAGCTCAGAAGAGTTGTGAATGTCCATGATGGTCATGATCAGCTATTCATCTAGGACCCCATCTATCCATTGCAGACCCAATATCTCTGACAGGCTGGAAGGGCCATCAATCACATGAACGAGCCTGTCTACATCCATTAGGAAGAACATTACTAAATCACATACAGAATTCACACCTCTATAAATAAAAACCGATGTAGGGGACCCCATAGGAAATGACTCTAACCTGGGGAGAAAGGTTTGGGTTTAATACATGTATGTGGGTCAGTGTGTGCTGAATCTCTTGAAAACATGTCCAGGTCATACTTCCCCTGAAGCAAAAACAAAAACAAACAAACAATATTGCCATTACAAATTCTTATCCCTAATGCATCTGGAGCCTTTTTTTTTTTTTTTTTTAGCTTTTTTTAATGTAATCCAAATATTAGATCTGTAATAAAGTAATTTTTTCCCCCCAAAATTTTTTTTTAAGAGTACAACGAATATTAATGATATATATCATTATAATATAATAATTGATTATAGTAGATTATATAGTATGGTATAGTAGATTACAGTAACGAGGATGCTTTTTACATTACAAAATAAGAATTTAAAAGAAAATTACATAGTTATTATGAAAATAATGTCACAGTGTAAAAAAAAACACTAAAATGGGATTAAATGTCTTTGTGTAAAATAATATTTCTGCTTTCACTGGATTTGTGGGGTGAAATATGACTCAGACATGTTCCTCACATGTTTGTGAGTTTGTGAGATTAATGTACATGCATGTCTCTACTCATATAGCACTCGTATGCACTCACATGTGGATTTGAGCATGTGTTCACCTGGATGTATGCATGAGATAATGCATGTCATATTTGCATCAACACTTTGCATACTTTCCCCTTGCAAATATAATTCAGTTGAACCATACATGTTCCATATTGCCCCATTTCATGAACAAAAACAGTTACAATCGGATGTGCTGATAAATGATCTCATGATCATGAAATGGTGAATGATATCCTCGACTAATTAAGTCACCACAACTGACAGAAGAAACATGACACATCAGCAGCACAGAGCATACACGAGCCTCACTGCACGGAAACAGACAGAGAGGACAGATCACACATAACAATGGGGACAGAAACATAATAAGTAGAGACCAAAAAATGGGGATCAGAGGGGAGTAAAGAAGGTACAAAAGAAAAAAGGTGGAAGAGACAGAGAGGAGAAGACATACTGTACATAAAAATAACACAAATACAGAGAGATAGAACAATAGTCAGAAGCATACTACAAAGACAAGGCAGACATTGGCGACTGCCGTTAGACAGGAGCTAGTCCCCCATGAACACGAATGGGGTGGGTAACTGGAAGACACAGCACAAGGATGGAGGCTGAGCTACTGACCTAGCCTGACGCCCTTACGGGACACCTGTGGAGGTTTCGAGGGTGCATCTTACGGGGGAGAAGGAAAAACAACATTTTTACAGACAAATCCTACAGCAACAGCCGTCAAATAACTGATCATATGTTGGGCAGAGGGGATGTGTTTGTTCTACATCATGAGAAGGTGTTTTGAAGGAGGAAGAGAGGACAGCTTTGTATATATATATATTTTTTTTTTACATTTCACATGTTCGTGCCATTTTATGTGAGCCGAAAAAGGACAATAGCGTGGTTCATTGGGCAGTTCAAACTGGATCTTCCATCAGGCAAACATTTACCATTAACCATTTCATCTAAGAATGCCCTGGTGCACTGCAGTGCCACTGGATTCTGGCTATTATTAAATTGCATTGTTGCATATAAACATAAGGTATTTTCTTCTTCTTCTTCTTCTTTTAACAATCACACAGCCTCTGATCAAAATGTCAGAATTCCAGCCACTGAATTCATTGATAACAGTAATAATAACATTAATAAAACATATCAGATATATCAACATAAAACGACTATGCAGTCAGATTGTTAGGATGGCAAATCGGTTGGTGAATAGCAATAGACAGCACGTGAGCTATGAAACAGGTGGGATCTTTGGGGGGAGGGATAAATAAATAAATAAATAAAATACAGTGGAGGATATATGTTCCTCCAGCAGAACTGTAGACTGCAGCAGAGGCTTCGGGTGGGGGCTGATGTCTTAAAAAGCATCCAGCACTGACCTGGTCGCCGGCGAACAGGTCTTTTCTTGCCGCTGCAGAAGCGGACTTTACTGAAGACCCCCAGGAAATGTCGCTCGCAGAGAGAGCGGGGGTCTTTGCTGGGACTGGGGCGGCGTTTGGAGGCAGATACCCGATCGCTGTTGGATTCCCGCGCCTGGCGTTTTTGTCGGATCAGAGAACTGGCGATCGCAGCCATCTCGAGTATTCAGTTAAACGAGCTGTTCGACAGTAACGCAATTACTGGGAATAATTAATAAACAAGACTGGATTGTCTGCGAAAAATTAGCCAGATCTCATTCCAATTCCTTGCGAAAAATTCAGAGGATCCTGTGAATTACGACTGAAATCTCATCCCCTTCTCAGACGATCTACCCAGACGGCTGTGAGTTTCACACACGATTACATAAAGCATATTTTCCGTTCTCCATCTTAGAAGCAAAAAAGCTATAATAATAACAATTAAATTAAAAAACAACGTCCTATGTGAACATGGGTAACCTGTCACGCAGGTATTCCAGGTGCCGAGGACAGCAGACGCGTAATTCCTCTTTCAAGCGACTGCTACATGATCCATATGTCTAGTTCATTCCAGATAACTTTGCATGCATCCACATAATAAATGGAGCCCATGACACAAGAACGCGCGTTCTCAGGCTCTATAGGCGTATATGAGTGGCGCGCACACAACTTCACGCAACTGGGCTCTCCAAATTATTTCACAGCTCTTCATAGTTCTTCTAGTAGAGTTCATTGCATTGCCCTTCACGTAGAAATTTCTTATTTTGTTCGAAACGAGTTGCAATTTAAATGTCAGGTGTCTAGCACAGCGAGAACACTGCGAATCCTGGCGAAGCCGTTTAAGGGAATGTTGTAAAATCGAGACTAGTGAGGCCTCTTTCACACTGACACTGAGCCTCTTTCACACTGACACTGAGCCAGTGAATGGGGTGTGATTCTCTCTCTCTCTCTCTCTCTCGCAAGTGAAGGAGTTAGAAAAAATAATATATATTAATGGGGGGAGAGAGGAGGTAACAGAGAATGATCTCGGTTCAAATTATGCTTGTTATTGCGTCTCATCGTCATCTATAGAGTTAATTTATTAATTGTCTGCCCATCTGTTTACTACTCGGATTAAAATACACCCTAATGATACAGATCGCCTTCTGTTTGTCACTGTATTGTTCAGTGTATTTAGTGCAAATGTGGCAGCCCATAATATTAAGGTCTGTCTGACACAATACATTAACCGCCCACTCTGCAGTTACTTTTTTATGTCATTTTTACCCATTAACTGTTGCAGAAAACTGAATTTCAAGTAAATTTCCAAACTGCTATTCCATCTGACGGGACTGTGTGTTTTAACTTATTAATATATATATATATATATATATATATAGAATGCTGCTTTTGCATCAGAACTGAGATAACCCTTTTAAGTATCACTGATATTTTAACAAGATAATAATGATATAGAAATGTGTTTAGGTTATAGTGCCACAGAATTCTAATAACAGGTTTACACTGCTACAGAGATGTATTGTTCTACTTTAGTAATTAATGCATTAACACAACACCTCCCCTTTAGAGATACAGATCTAACTATCACAGAACACCCCAATGCTGCATTTATGTCATGCACTGTGCCTTACTAAAGTGCTAAGCTCTTCAGCACTGGGTTTCAGAGGGTAATCATGGTGGGGCAAGCAGAGACAGAAGGGTTGGGGGGGGTTGTGTACTTATGTGGGGGCACACAATGGTTTCTGACACTGCAGTGGGTGGATCACGTGGCTCTGACACAAAAAAGACTCTTGCCTTGTGCAAAATAGCAGCATTAAATATTCAGTCTGTGAATGTGCTCTTTCATCCTTTTTCAAATTTAATGTGGGGCTAGGATTTCACTTCCAGCCATTTCCTTGCATCAACATGGACTTAGTACAGTGCCTTTTAAGATGCTCTTCTTGTTAAAGGTACTTGGTCTGAATTAACAATCTTCCAAATACTATGGAAAATCTGGTAACAAACTTAAGAGATGGGATAGCTAAGACTTTTGTAATATAAATTATCATAAATTATTGAAACTCTTAAATGTTATGGAAGTAAGGCAAGGATGAGAAGATTTACAATGGTTTTATCATATATTTTAGATACAAGTACCTCTATTTCAGAGGTCTGAACGAATGACACAAAGCATTTTGTTTTCATTAATCTCTGACACAAAAGCAGCTCCTGAGACAGAATGGTACATGGTAGTTGTCACAATACATCCTGTTTTGTATTACCTCAGTTTTGAGAGAGGAATTCTTGTGCAATTCTAGAACTATAACAATTTTGCCTAAAAACTCGACTATTATTGATTGTCAGCAAGGGCAGGTTTACTCAACAGACCATGACAATGCACCAGTGCACCTAAATTCATTAATGATCTGCGAATTTGTCCACAGTGACAATCACAGCACGTCATTTGCCAAGCAATAACTGCCCCACCCCCAGTGATTTCGGCCACTGCCCCTCAAAATAAATGTGCACGTCCCTGATAGCAAGTGCCTTTGCAACAAACATGTAATTTCTAGTTGTCAGTATTTCTGTTTCATGACAAATGCAGTAATGTTACATTAGCACAAAGCTCAGGCCAAAACCAAGATCCAGAGGATACTAGTATTATAAACAAATTTAAAATTTCTTCCAGCTAAACATAGTGAATGTAGTGAATGACATTTCAAGAAATATAGTAAACATGAGATATAAATTACACATGTGAAAAATATATATATAATATATATATATATATATATAATATATATATATATATATATACAAAGTCTGAATTTAAAATAGAATTGAAGCACACCAACTACAGAGACTGAACCTGAGATATAACTGGCCACAACATTGAATAAAGTCCAATGCAGGTATCGAAAGCCTTGCATCACCAAAACTATTCCACATTCAAACCAAGAGAGAAAAAGGAGCATCAAATCCAAGAATGTATTAAGACATCTTTCAAAGAAATATTGCCTCTAGTGTTCACAGTATGGGAACGCACAAAGGCCTCTCTCATCAAC